GAGGGGGGAATAAAAAGAGGGGAGGGGGGAATAAGAAGAAGGGAGGGGGAATAAGATGAGGGGAGGGAGGGATAAGAAGAGGGGAGGGAGGGAATAAGAAGAGGGGAGGGATGGATAAGAAGAGGGGAGGGAGGGAATAAAAAGAGGGGGGAATAAGATGAGGGGAGGGAGGGGAATAAGAAGAGGGGAGGGGGGAATAAGAAGAGGGGAGGGATGGATAAGAAGAGGGGAGGGAGGGAATAAAAAGAGGGGGGGGGATAAGATGAGGGGAGGGAGGGGAATAAGAAGAGGGGAGGGGTGAATAAGAAGAGGGGAGGGATGGATAAGAAGAGGGGAGGGGGGAATAAGAAGAGGGGAGGGGGGGAATAAGAAGAAGGGGCAGCTCTATAGGACAGGGGCCAAGACAGGGAGCTCTTTCACACTACGTGCGCACACACACACAATGCATCCCTATACATACACAGAAACACAACATGCTTCCCTTACACACAGAGAAACACACACACACAATGCAACCCTTACACACAAAGACAATGCATCCTTTGCACACATACACAGAAACAGACAATGCAAACCCGTACACACGCATGCAAACACACACACTTCTTTTCTTACATACACACAGAAACACAATGTATCTCATGCACACACATACAGACACACACCTTGCATCCCTTATGCATACAAACACAGATTCACACAATGCATCCCTTACACACAACCAGAAACACATAATACATCCCTTATACACAAATACACACTACTTCCACTACACACAAACACACTGCATCACCTGCACAAACTGGTAACCCTAAACACTACATACCATAAGCACACATATTAGATCCTATACAATAACACATAACACATCCCCTACACACTCCACTCCCTGTGAGCGAACTCATGGGTGGGTGGAACTTATGAGTGGGCCTTATGGGCATACTCACCGTCAGGCCCTGGGCTCCAGACCTTGAGCTGTGTAAGGGGCCCCCAAAAAATTGAGCTGCTTCCAATTCTCCCAGAACATTGAATTTTGTGACCACAGTTGCAAACAGCCTCCAGAGATCCTGTTCTACACCAGACCAGTGGAGCCAAACTGCAGCCCATCATCATCCCCATCTGCTTGTAAGTAGGCAATCTAGTATATTATTAGTGACACTAATCTATAATTTACCTCACATTAAAGGGACACTATAGCTTAATGAAGTGGTTCTGGTGTCTATAGCTGGTCCCTGCAGGCTTTTTAATGCAAACACACACTGTGTGCAGCACTGGCATTAGTTCATATGGCAGATCATATGGGTGGGGCATTGTGATGTGACATGTGGGGGCAGCAAATTTTTATTTTGTCTAGGGCGGCAAAAATCCTTGCACCGGCTCTGATCCTGGGCAGGTGCACCAGTCTACTTGACTGGTTTTGCCCCCAGGCCTAAGGCTGCCAGCCCTCCCCTGGCCGCTGGGGAGGTCTTTTGGCGGCCGCTGGCGGACTTGTCCTGGCGGCCGCTGAGGGAGCTGCGCGAGCTGCGCTGGCTCTGCTCCCCAGCACGCAGCTGAATGAGACCGGCGCCGGAATATGACGCCATATTCCGGCGCCAGTCTCATTCAGCAGCGCGGGAGGGCACTAACACAGGAAGCACCTCTAGTGACCGTCTGAGTGACTGTCACTAGCAGTGTCACTTTGAAGCAATGTAAACACTGCCTTTTGTCTGAAAAGTCAGTGTTTACGTTGAAAAGCCTGTAGGGACATGCTATAGACACCAGTACCACCACATTAAGCTGTGTGTGTGCGTCTGCTAGTGAGTGAGCTTGCTTGCATGCGTGTGCCTGCTAGTGAGTGAGCTTGTGTTTTTATGTCAATGAGCTGATGTATATCAGTAAGATTGTTTGTCTATGAGGCTGTGTATCAATGAGCTTGTGTGTGTCACTGAAATGTCAGTGAAATTGCCTGTGTCTGCATGTGCGTATGCTTACTGTATAATTAAACGTTTTACCCTGAAAGTACCAATATTTGATATTAGAAAAAGCAATATATATATATATATATATATATATATATTACTCAATCATCTGTCCTGGCAAGACATAGCCTTACATATTACACGCGACAATATATGGCGCAGTGACTTATGGGGCTGGCACAATTTTTTTTTCCAGGGCTGCTTTGTATCCCCAGTCAGGGGCCTCGATGGGACATACTTGTGTATTAGGGAGGATAGGTAGGTTGGAGCAGCATTATGTAGGGACTTGTAAGCAAGCACCAAAATCTTAAAGTGAGCCCTATATCTAACTGGAGCAAATGTAGGGAAAGACAGAGGGGGGAGGCGTGGGAGGTGAGGACAGACAGGAAAATGAGCATTGCCGCCGATTTCATAATAGTTTGCAACGCTGCAATCTGGGAACACATAAGACCACTGAGAAGGGGATTGCAGTAGGGGAAGTCGAGAAAGAACAATGGCATGGACCAGCACCTTAGCTGCGTCTGGTGTTAAATAGGGGTGGATGCGAGCTATGTTTTTCAGATGGAAACGGCAGGATTTGACGATCGACTAGACATGAGGGGTGAAGGAGAGGTCGGAGTCAAAGAGAACACCTAGGCAGCAAGCCTGTGAGGTAGAGGTGATTGTGGCGCCGTTAATTTGGAGGGAGACAGACACAGGAGTAGCAACACTTGAGGGAGGAAACACCAGAAGTTCTGTTTTGGACAAGTTAAGTTTAAGGAAGTGAGCAGCCATCCAATTGGAAATTGCGGAGAGGCAATCAGAGACACGAGTCAAGATGGGCGGAGAGAGATCAGGAGAAGACAGGTAGATTTGCATGTCATCTGCATATAAATGATAATGGAAGCCAAAGGAGCTGATGAGTTTACCAAGGGAGGCATTATAGACGGAGAACAGTAGGGGACCAAGGACTGAACCTTGAGGTACACCAACAGAGAGAGATTGGGGAGAAGAGGCAGAGCCAGAGAAAGAAACACTGAAAAAACGCAGGGAGAGGTAGGAGGAGCACCAGGAGAGAGCAGTTTCTCGTAGACCTAGATTATGGAGAATGAGAAGAAGCTGTTGATGATCAACAGTGTCAAAGGCAACAGAAAGATGAAGGAGAATTAGGATAGAGTAATGGGCGCGATATTTAGCAGCAAATAAATCGTTCGATACTTTGGTCACAGCTCTTTCAACAGAGTGACGAGAGCAGAATCCAGACTGAAGCGGGTCAAGCAGAGAGTTGGATTCGAGGAAGTCTGTCAATCTCACATACACAACTCTCTCAAGGATCTTGGAGACAAACGGCAGTAGCGATATATGGCAGTAGTTGTATGGGGAGTTGGGGTCGAGGTTGGACTGTTTCAAAATTGCCATTATCGTTGCATGCTAGCAGGGTGAAGGAAATGTGCCGGAGGAAAGGGAGAGATTGAAAACTTTAGTTAGAGGAAGAGCAAGAGAGGGAGAGAGAGTGCGGATGAGATATGGGAATAGGATCGAGGGAGCAGGTGGTGGGGCAGGAGGACCGGCGCAGAGCAGAAACCTCTTCCGTTGTAGTAGGGGCGAATGAGCATAGAACAGTGAAATGAGTGGGCTTGGGTGATGTATAGGAAGATGTATTGGAAGGGGAGGGAGAGAGATTAGAAATCTTTTCCCTGATTGTAGAAATCTTCTCAGTGAAGTTAGTCGCAAAGTTTGAGGCGGAAAGGGTGGTAGGAGGAGAGGGAGCAGCAGGGAGAAGGAGAGCATTAAGTGTGAAATAGGCATTTGGGTTGGCGGGACAGTGTGCTTATGAGGGTGTTGAAGTAATTTATTTTTGCAGAGGAAAGAGCCAGAGTGTAGGAGCGCAGCATAAATTTATAGTAGATGAAGTCAGGTGCAGAGTGAGACTTTCTCCAACAGTGTTCAGAAGTTCTGGAACATTTTTGGAGATATCGGGTCAGGTTGTTGTGCCAGGGTTGTAATTGGGAACGCTTGCTGCGTTTAAATGTAGGAGGTGCCATGTTGTCTAGTTGAGAGGAGAAAGTGCAGTTGTAGTGTGAGGTTGCAGTGTTAGGGTAAGTGGGATTTGAGATGGGTAAAAGGAGAGTTTGGAGTTTGGTGGAGAAATGCTGGAGATCAAGGCTGTGGAGGTTTCTGCAAGATTGGAGAGTTGAGGGTGGTGAGGTGTGTATGGGATATGCCGATGTCAAAGTTCAGCAGATGGTGGTCAGATGAAAGAAAATGGAACAGTGGAGAGATTAGAGGTGGTACAGAGATTGGTGAAGATGAGGTCAAGAGTGTTTCCTGCTGTATGAGTTTCTGAAGTAGACCACTGTGTGAGGCCGAAGGAAGAGGTTACAGAGAGCAGACGGAAGGCATCAGGGCAGTCTGACAACTATGTTTTATCTTCCTTTTATTTCTGTTCCTTCTGGGCCTCACTTGCCTCTAGTTCTGAATACTCACCTGCTTATCTTTGATTACTTCAGCTACAGAAGGCTACACCCAACTAACCTCATGGCTTTAACATTGAAGTTGGTGATTTACCTGAAACACTTCATATCCTGGCTCCTGTGAACCTGCTTCAGACTTACCTTCAAACCTGCTCCATACCAATCTGCTCCAGACTTACCTTCAAACCTGCTCCACCCTTACGTAAACTTCAAACCAGCCTGCCTTTGTAACCAACCTTCCGCTGTTACCAGCCTGCCTTTGATACCAACCCGCCTTTGTTACAACCCTACCTGGAAATTACAGACATTCTTTATTATTTGCAAGTAACCTGTTCTGTGGCAAGTATCCTATTTTGTGGCATATTGCCTAAATACTGTTTTCCCTCAAGTTTCATAATATGTCTAAAATCACTAATAAAGTACCTGAAGTCAACCCTGGCATACGTCTCCTATCTGACCTGCTCAAGATCATGACAGCAGTTGAGGTTGTTGATTGGGATGTTAAAGTCTCCAAGTATGAGGGAAGGAGTGCTAGGGGAGAGAAAGTGGGGTAGCCAGGAAGAAAAGTGTTTAATGAATAGCCTAGGATGACCGGGTCGATAGATGATGGCAATTCTTAAAGGAGTGGCGTTAAACATGCGGACAGTGTGACCTTCAATGGAAGTAAAGGATAGAGCAGGGGCAGGGAGGATAGGTTGAAATGCACATTGAGGGGAGAGAAGGATGCCTACAACCGTCTTTACAGTTGTGTCTGGGAGGGTGGGCACATTGTAGGAACATAAAGAAGCCGGAGTAGCGGTATCAGAGGGGGACAGCCAGGTCTCCGTGAGTGCTAGTAGTGTGAAGGAATTAGAGATGAAGAGGTTGTGTATGGCTGTTGATTTAATATTGCTACAGATGGAACGGACGTTCCAGAGTGCACAGTGAATGTTGGTAGAGGAGGATAAACTGCAGGGTATTAGGATGAGGTTTGTTTGGTTTCTAGTTGTTTTAGTGTGAGGAGACGAGGTAAAGGGTTGGAAGACGTCACCAGCTGCTAGAAGTAGGAGGAGCGATAGTGACAGGAGGCATGAATGGGTTTTATATGAGCGGGAGATTGGGTGAGAGCAGGAGAGAAAGAATAGAGAAATTAGTGCAGGGCATGAGATGAGAGAATGGGGGAGTGTAGCAGAGATGGATTAATGTGGATGTGATTGTGTTCTTGAGGGAAGTGGGTGTAAGGAGATATTTTGATAGTGAAGTTGAGGAGAGAAAAGGAAAAGAGGAGAAGATAGAGCATTGCTGAGATGAGTACACTAAGAAAGCAGAGTGGGTAGAAGTAAAGAGAATGAGGACTGAGTGTAAGGGGTTAAGGGAGTGTAGGAGTGTTCTGAATGCAGGTAGCATTTGTAGCTGTCATTTCTAATTATCTAAAATTGTATTTGAGATTCTATCTATCAATGGAATAAAGAGCTTGGGGTGGTGAGGGGAGGGGTGGGCGGGCAACTGAGAACTGTGTTGGTTTCCATCAGGGAACGTTTTACTCAGACTATGGAAGACAGAGATGATAGGGTCAAAAAGGGCTGCAATAAAGCTATGGAATGGAGATGCACAGAGGAGGTGAGGATTGGTCAAGCAAGACATTTTGGTAGGTATCAAAATAAGGGGGGGGGGAGGTTGCAGAAATGACAGAGAAAGTCTTTAGAGATAAGCAGATAGGTGAAGAACATTTAAGTTAACAAGTGTTGTGGATCAGAATGTTGATCTTTGTTATATTCAGAGGAAGCCCACATTGTTGTTACAAGTGCAATTGGGGAAGCGAGAATTAGACACCAGACACCTGTTGGTATTCAAAATAAGCCTCTGACGTTTTATTCATCAGCTGGGTTTTATACATTAAAAAGTAAGTGCTTACGTACAAATACTCTTAGAACAGTAATAGGAAGAGAGTACAGATAAGACATAGGGATGAGTGTCATGTACACATAACAAATAAGTTTCAAGGCAAGAGAGAACAAAATGATTAGAGCAGAGACATCTTAGGTGGGGGCTCTCTGCTCCCGGAACTTAGACATATATGGTCTTAAGTGTTGTTTAAGCATCAAGCATTTCCTGAGTCCAAGTTAGCCAATTTTAATATAGGATATCATTATATGACACCTATAAGCTTAAGCCTTGGAATCAAGATAAATTCTATCACAATCCCCTCTTTTGATCCAAGGGTCACCCAAATGTCCAAGGTATATCCAGGCCTGCTAGTCAAAGCCTGTGGGACTTTAATTTATTGCTTCACCACGGTTCCCTTGGACTGAGAGACCACCAGAATCAGCAGAGGCGAGTTCCTTTATTTGTTAGGCGAGGTAACATCATAAAACCTTTCCGAAGTCGGAGCTGGAATGTAAGTTAAGGTACGACCAATAGTAGGTTTGCTTTTACATAGAGAGGTTAGTAGACATGAAAAAAATCTAAAGGTTAGAAAAAATAGCCATAATGACAAATACAGCTAATAGCAAAAAGTACAAAATCTTCTTAATTAGTAAAGTTAACCATGTTCCTGGCCCAAATGTCCAATCCCAATCCCCAAAGAAGCCAGTATCCTATTTTATATCCTGTACTAAGTCATATAAATCTTTATATGTTTATGGATCATAGTGCCATGGTCAGATAGGTTAAAACAGCACATACCTCCAATAACTTCACAGCCTAAGTCATGTTTCATTAGTAAGTAGTCAATGGCTGCTCTATTCTCAAGGATTGCCTTCTTATTTGCCTGGCTGTCCATAAGTAGCTCTTCTAGGGCCTGTGAAGTGACATTTAAACCTTTTGCAAGGGAACAGGCTACAGCATTTACTACTTGGGTATTATACAATGCTAAGCCTGGGACTCCTACCAAGGTGTACGCTAGGGCAGAGTATTCGGTACCGAGGAGAGGGTTGAGTCAAAAGTAGGTTAAATTAAAAGCCTTTGCTATCTGCTACCATATATTTTCCTGCCATGCATTATTATTTTCTGGTCTCAAGTCAGAGTAGCATATCCGAACACAGCATAAAATTGTAAAGGATAAGAACAGCTTCATGTTGGTGGATCAGTCGGAGTGACTTGTTTACAGTGACTGGCGTGTATCCACGTGGCTTTTCCTTCTAGTTTCACTGAGGTAGCCGTAGTCAAGAGCACTTTTAATGGACCGTCAAAGCGTGGTTCAAGTCCTTTCCTCACATGCCTCTTTATCACCACCCAATCACCAGGTTGCAGTTTGTGAGTTGCAGAATCAGAGTCTGGATCTGGAATAGAATCAAAGACTTGTTTATGCACCCTGCCTAATCTTTGGTGTAGGGCCTGAACATAGGCAGTCATACTACCATGCTGGGGAAAATAGAGGCCTGTCTTTGGGGCACATCCAAACAGGATCTCAAAAGGGGATAAGCCATGTCTGGAATTGGGGGTGAATCTCATAGAAAAGAGTGCTAGGGGAAGGCATTCAGTCCAGGGCTTCCCTGTGTCTTGCATGGCTTTTGCAATCTTGTTCTTTAAGGTGCCTTTGCCCTTTCTACTTTCCCACTACTCTGGGGGTGATATGGGGTGTGGAAGGCCTGACTGATCCCTAAGGCTTTCATAATTTCTTGCATTATTTCCCCAGTGAAATGGCTACCTCTGTCACTTTCAATCACTTCAGGTACTCCATATCTACATACCAGTTCCTTCAGAACCTTACTTGCTGTGACCTTCGTTGTGGCTTTCGACACTGGGTAGGCCTCAGGCCAACCTGAAAAGAGATCAATGCACACCAACACATATTCATACACTCCTACCTTAGGTAGTTGAATATAGTCTATCTGCAGTCTTTGAAATGGGTAAAGTGGCCTTGGTGTGTGCTTACTTGGTGTTTTTACAGCTTGTCCTGGATATTGTCTAGCACAAATCATGCAAGCTTGGGTGTGTTTAGCTGCTACAACAGTAAATCCGGGTGCTACCCAATGGGTGTTTACTGTGCTGTTCATGTGCATCTTGGATAGATGTGTAGGTCCATGGGCAATCTGGGCCATCATGGGGTACAACACTCGTGGTAAACACAGTCTTTTACCTTTCCTCCACATTCTGTCATCATCAGTGGCGGATCCAGAGCCTGATCTCGGGAGGGGCACTTGTAGATTATTTAAAGAAATAATCCAGACACAATAACCACTACAGCTCAGTGTAGTGGTTATGGTGTCAATAGTGCCGGGACCCCCTCCCACAGTAAGTAGTCAAACCGCTTAAGAACAGTTTGACAACTTACCTGAGATCTGCTGGGAAATGGGGCTGTAGTAGGGTATAGGAGCAGTGGTGTGTGTGAGTGGTGCAATGTGTAAGGGGTGCAGTGTGTGTGAAGGTTGTAGTGTGTGAGTGAGGGCGGCAGTGTATGTCAGGGAGGCAGTGTATGTGTGGGACAGTATGTGTGTGT